TACTGTTCTTTTTAGCAACATCATATGACCCCTTTAAGATTTCCTAACTAGAGATAAGATACGATATTGTAAGATAGGATAAGAATCCCAATCCCAAAAAAACCCTCAAGTCAAGATTTGCTTCTGTAATACGAATTTGCGAAAAATCCTAATTTAACATATAGAAAAAAAACATTAGGTGCGTCCCAAATCGCGTATACTTCTGCACTATTCTATGACGTTCTGTAGTATAAATAGTGTGAGTAGTGCGTTCACACTGAAAATTCCAAAAAGAAAAAGTGCACTTTAAATACCCGGATGATGCACTTAAATAACTGAGCTTATGACGTGTGGAATGTTGGACACTTCATGCACTCAACTGTCACAGCTTTAATTACGTCGCGAAGGGGGAGGGGCTATCAGACTCTGATTATTAATGACAAAATAACCTTATAAAATTCATACACTACATGGTTGAGTATATAACGTAGTGTATATATTGTGTCATTTGGAACGCAGTTATACTGTAATAGGCCCCCAGACGAGTCCAAACCTTGAGCTATTAAATGTAAACAGGGCTTGCCATATCACGCGACTGTTGACTAGCGTTAGTTAGTTTTTTTTTTTTTCATTAAGTACAAAATCTGAATACAACAAACTGGCATTAATTAGTATACAAAAAACATTCTGGTATGGAAGGCTCAACACAATAGAATCATAATAAGCTCCAGACAAATCATATAAGAAAACATTCCAAAAAACATCAAATATAAAATAAAAATAAATTAAATAAAAAATACATAATTACAACAAATTATATAATACAAACAAATTAAGTAGTGTTACTGCTTTTGGATTTTTCATTTTACTAAGGGCATATGAGAAGTATTTTAGATCAATTTTAAATACAATAAACAAAGGAGGGGATTTAAAGTATCTTCATTAATCAAATCGTACAAAACAGAGCACTCTTTGGTTATTCCATACATTACATCTTGTAAGGTTAGAGTGAAACCATCAGCAGCCACACCCTTCTCCACCATCCAGTCCTGCAATGCTTTCCAAAAAGACTGCCGCAAACTACATGTAAAAAATACATGTTCTGTATCTTCAACTACATATTTGCATAAATAACAGGGCTCATTTTCAACATTAAATTTTGAATGTAGAAATTTATTGGAGGGATATATCTCATTTAATATTTTAAATTGCATTTCTTTTACCTTGGGGAGAATAGGAAATTGTAGATAAGCTGTTCTGAAATATTTAACAGTGTTTTTATCAAATGTATGATCTAATTTATTTCTTAATATTTGACAAGGGTAGCACGACTGGATGATATATTGTCTTATATATTTGTTAGTGCAGAGTTTGTTTTCTACCTCAATATCAGCAACATATAATAAAGGAAGGACTGCAGTAATTGTTGAGTAGGAAAGAGAACATCTCATTAACATTTTTACACCTGAGGGTATTGCATTAATAACAGTAGAGAATTGCTTTGGATGACAGGCAAATCCGTGTTTTAAAGTAAATGCATTGTAATTTAACATATTACCAGTGTCATCCATTAGATCCAACACTGACCAAATATTTCTATTTACCCAGTCCTCATAAAACGGATTTGTTTCTGTGAAGAATATATTTGTTATTCCATATAGGAGTATTGTGGGGTGTAAAATTGTGTGTGTATGCCAAGTTCCAGCATAATAAGACTTGTTGGTGGAATGCTGCTAGCTTCACTGGAAGTTTGGGTAAATCAAAGTCACATTTGTTTAGATTTAATTGAAGGCCTGAAGCTTTACAAAAGGAATTGATTAGAGAGATAGCCAGAGGAATTTGCTCTGTTTTGTAAAAATAATGTCGTATCATCTGCTAGCTGACTGATTGTTAAGGTTTTCCCAAATACATTTAATTTCTTCACAGATGAATCATGACTAACCAAAGTGGACAGCATATCTACAGCTAAAATAAATAAAAGAGGGGACAGTGGGCATCCCTGCCTTATTCCACGGCCAATCTGAAATCTTTGTGTAGTAGCAAACGGGAGAGAAACAGAATTATTCATGCCTCTGTAAATCATTTTTATAACACTAATAAACTGCTCACCAAAATTGAAAAGTTCTAAAGATCTAAAAAGAAAAGCGTGCTCTATCATATCAAAGGCCTTTTTGAAATCTAAAAATAAAATGAATCCATCATCCTCTATCAAGTGACTGTACTCCACCAAATCCATCACTAACCTTATATTATTATGAATAGATCTTCCTTTAAGAAAGCCTGATTGTGATTCGTTAATTAAATTATTAATTCCCATTTTTAATCTATTAACATATATATGTGTGAAACTGTTATAATCATTATTAAGCAATGTGATTGGACGAAAATTATCCATATATCTCCTATCTTTATCTGGTTTAGGGATTAATGTAATCAGACCCTGAGTCATGGTGGGGCCAAAAGAGCCGTCTTCCATGGATTCAACAAAAGCATTAAATAATAATAGTCTGATATCATTCCAAAAGAATTTGTAAACATTAGCTGCGAGGCCATCGGGGCCAGGAGATTTGCTTAACTTATATGCAAGTCAGCATCACAACAATCTCTCCAATCATTGTCAATGTGGGGAATAAAAGGTATTATATTATCAAAGAAATCATTACACTCTACTGGGGAGAAGTTGGAAGAATACAAGTCACTGTAGAATTGATCGATTTTCTTATTAGAGTCGGATCTGTGCATTCAGCACCATTAATCATCAGTGAAAGGACGGAGTTACTCGATTGTCGTCTTTTTTTCTAATCTGCAAAAGTAAGAAGTACTTTTTTCACCCTCTTCTATCCATTTAGCTCTAGAACGTATATATGCACCTTCAGCGTTCTTAATGTAAATATTGTCCAGTTCTAATTGTAGAGAGACCGTTTTGCTTTTTTCAGAATCCTAGCGTTAGTTTGTCGCGCGCTGCAACGATGACGGCGATGACGTCACTGTAACGTCACGCTTCCCCTTGCAGCGATAATCATGGCGGATCAAGAGCTCAGCAGCTCTCTCTGGTGAGCAAAGCGCTGTCTTCTAGCTCCTGTGCTCTCTCCTCGCAGCTGATCTGATCTGATCGCAATCCTTCGAGTCGAATGGTCTGTGTGCAGTGTTTGTAAACACGGTTCTTTGTGTTGGCGTATAGTTGCTGCGTGTGCGGTTACCAAACTGATTAAGTTACTAAAGGACACAGCTTTAAGTGTATTTTTAAAACACACGATGACTTTGGTATCTTGGTTTATTTTCTCAGTCTGCTGATTGATTAACGTAAGCCGGTTTCATCAAAACCCGTCTGTACTCTTCTGCATTTACTGTACAAATGCTAAATCTGCAGACAAGGCTGGTGTTATTATTGTGCTTTATCTGATCGTCTAATGGCTTTAATTGTGCTGCTGGATTCTCATCATACTTTCAGATGCAGACCTTTTAGAATATAAGAATATTGCATTTTAGAATCATTCTTTCAGACCCATTGCTCGCCATATATGCATGCAGCAGAGAGAGATATTAGGGCTGTGCATGAGTTACAGTGTGTCAGGAATGTTTTACTGCAGAATAACTGGAGTTTCTCACACAGATCTGCAGCGAGTGTCTGTCTGCGAGAGCTGCTCAGACCTGCTCCACAGGTTTCTGATGTCAGGTGGACAGAGCACAGTTACACAGTTACTCTCTGAGCGAGAACAGGGGCATATCAGTGGCTCATGCAAAACACCGCAGTCTTGGCTGTGTGATAGCATGAGCTGGACATGAGTTACTGAATTACAGCAGAGACAGAGAGCATTATACTGTGATGGCTTGCTTCCAGACGCTGCTCTAACAGCTGCTGATGAGGTGTCTGTCACCATCTGACGTGATGATGTTTCATGCAACAACAAACGTGTGGCCTGCTGGACACTTCATCAGATCAGAATAATATTATTATTGTTGTTATAATGCTACATTTCTACAAACCCGATGAAGAAACAAACTCATCCTGATGGACGGAGACTGAAATTCTCATGTCTGTGTTAAGGACCATTGTTTTGTGTGTTTGTGAGGTGGGTCGGGTCATTTGTATTAGTTCTGTTCTCATGCTAGATTGCAGAAGTCTGCTGCCCGCCGTGATGGAGCATCTTCAAGGGTCCTGGAAAAACATCAGTCATGGGTTTGGATGCAAAGACTCTGTGTTTGAAGATTCCTGCATGTCTCCCACCATTCTCAAGAACTTCCCGTACCGGAGATTATCCGACGGCAGAATCCCAGACCCGAAAACTAGCAGCACGATCCGCGTCTACCTGCCCAACAAGCAGCGGACTGTGGTAAGAAGAAAATAATCAAACACTTTTAGTGAATGTTTGACACAATATGATGAGCGGGATATTATCCGGCTGCACCTTTGTAAGCAGTTGCTTTATACAAGGGTCAAAGACATTTAAATGTCTGCATCAAAAGTAATTTTATATGCACAGAAAGCATACTAAAGTGTCTACCTTTAAGGTTTCAAATACGTTTTGGGAGAATAAAATGTCAAAATGTGGGTGAAATAATGTACCATTGTCATTCAGTGTAACACTTATTTATATAAAAACTAAAACAACATGCATACTCTGACCTGTACATATTAAAATATATAAAAGAATAAGTGAGCATACTAAATTTGATTGCATTTTAAGTTAAAGTTAAAAATTCTTGCTGAGAAATGGCCAAAATGGGATCATGTTTATAAATGTAAAATTACAAGTAAGTAGTGTTTGGGGTAAAATGAGTCTTTTAATAAGTCATAAACCGATTGTTGTGGTAAATATGCCTGACAAGATTGTTACACTGAATGACATTTTAGTGGCTGTTTTCTGTAAATGATGGTAAAAAAGTATGATATTTATTTTTTGCACAGAATAAACTATTTAATTAAACGGTACGCTTTCTCACTTTCTGAAAACAACAAGTCAAAGCTGTTATTACACTTAATTGTTTTGATGTTTGAAAACCTTGCTAGTTGATATTACACTAAAGATGCAGCCTGAAATATTCCTTTTATAATCGTGTCCTCATCTACACAACCTTAACATGCTTGTCCATGGCTTATTCTCATTTTAAGTGATGAGATATTGAAATTGTGTGTTGCTAGGTGAATGTGCGAGCGGGTATGACGCTGCGCAACTGCCTCATCAAAGCCCTGAAGGTCCGAGGGCTTCAGCCAGAATGCTGCGCGGTTTTCAAGCTCCATCGAGAACATTCATTGTAAGTCGTGGCATATGAGAAAACAGAAGAAGAAGAAAAGCGTGTTGTGATCTTGCAGTCTGAACACTAACTGTGATATAATTGACAGCGATGTTTATCGCCTTTTCTTCGCTGTTTGCACACAGCTATCAACATGCAGTGCCAACAAAACTTGTATTGAAGCCAAATTAATTTGGTATTTTTACCACTGATGAACAGAAAAAGACTCTGTTCTCTATTGACTCTGTATAACAACAACAATTTAAAGCAGTATTACACTTACTGTTTTTATGCTTAAACCCTTTTTCGTCTTTGACCCATATACGACTCACAGCGTGAGTACTTATGAAAATTGTTATTTTGTGTTTAACAGCTGTAATAATCCAGTGCCAGTTGGTTGAATCTCGGCCCTGATAGTCAGTTCAATGCTCATTTCATGAAAACACACTATTCTTGGCATATGAGAAAACAAAAAGAAGAAGAAGAAAAGCGTGTTGTGATCTTGCAGTCTGAACACTAACTGTGATATAATTGACAGCAATGTTTATCGCTTTTTCTTCGCTGTTTGCACACAGCTATCAACATGCAGTGCCAACAAAACTTGTATTGAAGCCAAATTAATTTGGTATTTTTACCACTGATGAACAGAAAAAGACTCTGTTCTCTATTGACTCTGTATAACAACAACAATTTAAAGCAGTATTACACTTACTGTTTTTATGCTTAAACCCTTTTTCGTCTTTGACCCATATACGACTCACAGCGTGAGTACTTATGAAAATTGTTATTTTGTGTTTAACAGCTGTAATAATCCAGTGCCAGTTGGTTGAATCTCGGCCCTGATAGTCAGTTCAATGCTCATTTCATGAAAACACACTATTCTTTGTGTTCAGTAAGAAGTTGCATATGGATTGGAGCACTGACTCTAGCTCGCTGGTCGGAGAGGAGCTGCTGGTGGAAGTCTTAGATCACGTACCCCTGACTACGCACAATTTTGTGAGTTCCCATAATGTGTTCAAACTGAGCTCCGGCTGTCTTCACTACTTCTCTAACCACCGTCCCCTTCACAGGTACAGAAAACGTTCTTGAAGTTGGCCTTTTGTGACATCTGTCAGAAGTTTCTTTTGCACGGCTTCAGATGTCAGACGTGCGGCTACAAGTTTCACGAGCACTGCAGCACCAAAGTGCCCACGATGTGTGTGGACTGGAGCAACATCCGCCAGCTCCTGTGAGTGTTTATCAACCTTATCACGCTCAAGAGCGAGCAAGCTGTCATCTACACAGGGCCGCTGGCGCACAAATATCAGGACTTTAATGCTAAACATTGATTTCTGGGCCTGGAAAAGGCATAGGAGCCATGCTTAAATTGCTGACTCGGTGTGATATGAGTTTCATCGCATTTTCATATCGAACAGGATTTTTCCCCCTCTGTTGAAAAGATAGACATGTAGATGTAGTTCAAGAGAAGTCTCTTGATGCACAGAAAGAGTTTGCATAGAGGCCCTCACACTGTGAGCTTTGTAGATGTCTATCAGTGAAAATCAGGTGAGTCACGACACAAAGGTGCATTCTTCTGCTGCTCGTGCTTTGGGAATTCATCACAAAAAATATACAAACGTAATGTTTTCTAAGATTGCATACCAATGAAACTCCCTTGTTAGTCCATCTCAATTGTGACCCTTGTAAGGGAAACAGGTCAATTTAGCTCAAAGGGAATCATTTAAGATTTTAAAGGGAATTTGGACAGAATCACTGTTTTACGGCTGATCACTGAGAC